ATCGCAATTTGCCCCCGCCCTGCTTTGCCCCACCCAACTCCGTCTCCTCTACTCCTTTCCCGTTCCGCTCCGCCAGTCCAGTTCCATCCTGCCCCTTTCCGCTCTCCCATCCTACATTCTCCCTCTGCCCTATGCCATACCACACCCTCTCCCCCCTCCCCCGCGGCAGCGTCCCGCGCGGCGCCGCTGCCACTCGTCTCCCGCCGCTGCATTCCGCCGGCGCTGCAGGTATGGAGATAATTAGAGACGCGCTATCGACGCGCGAGGTGGCCGCGCCGCTTCTGAACGGAGCTCTCTGCAGGGCCGCGTCCCGATGCACTACACTTTGCCCTGCGGCGCGCCGCTCTATACCGCGCCGTGCCGCGGTCGCCTCATTGTCTCTTGCTGCAGGCGCTTGCTGCCACGTCGCCGCCGCCTCGTTGCGGTCAGCTCCGCTACCGCCCCGTCCAGGAGCGACCAATACGTGCCGCATGCTTCAAACGTGGCGCTAGAGACTGTTACAATGTAGCTTTCCATCCGTGCAGTTTCTTACTTTTCTTACTCTCTTGTTGGTCGTGTTCACTTCAGTACCGGCAGCGTATAAGCGGCTCTTACTGTTCAGTGAGCAGTTGCCACACATTACTACGCTCATGGCACCATTTACAGGACAGATAAACAAAATCTCAAAATATTAACATGTGCTGATAGGCTTTAGGATTTACTGATATCATTCATGTTTATCACCTTCACCTAAGCCGAACCTTATGGCATCCGCAACTTCGTGCAAGTCTGATGAGTTTAACACTGACTGTGAAAAAGTAAACCAATCCTCGCAAGCTGATTGCCTCAGAGCAGGTCACATGACGTACCACAGCACACGGCGAGAGAACCGTCAGTCTCGCTTATAAGCTGCCAGTACTGTAGAGAGCAACAAGCACGAGTTACTCTCGACAGAAGCTCGTAATTCCCTGCCCGCTTGAGAGCGATTCGCGGAAATTTCTGCGTCTCGAGAGTACACTCGCTGCGCACTCTGGAGATCACCTCTCAAACGCCTGTCTACTATAGAGCAGTCAGCTCGCGATGGAGATGGGAGATGTCAGTTAAGATGGAAAGCGTCGGTGGCTTTCGTAATTCTTATTTCATACGCTTCTTTGCAAAAGAAGAAAAGTGTGTGTGTTCTCAGTTGTATGGCACACCTAAACTCGTACGTGAATAAAATTGGGCGCATGACGTGCAAAAGGTTAGCCTCTGCTTCAGGATATGTCCTATTTTTTTGTCCCGTTCTCTCCGGGCCGAAGTATTCACCATTCTGTTGCTTTCACCGTCCCATTTCCCAGGCCTATCATACTCACGGTTCTTGCCTATGTAGCTTGCAGCAGACCCTCACTTGTTTCACTTTCATCCGCTACATACACACTATTCCTTTCGACTCGTTTGTCTCTCCCTCTCTGTCTCACATACACACGTATGCATTGACTCTTTCCCGAAGGGCACGTTTGTAGAGTTCAGTAGGAAGTCTTACACAATGAAATTCTTCACTAGGAACTTCATTGCAGAGCGAAAACTTTATTCACAACATAGTTTCCTTAAATTTTAGTTTAAGCCACTCGAAGAGCAATCAAGAGCTTACACAAGTTTCTAGTTTAATAGCGGTTGCAACACTCTTATTTAGTGTTTTCCTCCTGCTTTACATAAAACTCGCCCCACATCTTTGTATAAACTACCCCTGCCTGGCAGTGGAACGGTGGAGATTTGCATGGACCAGGCGGCAAGAAACGACGACGCTCGGCGTGGAGGGGGAGTGGGAGAGGGGGTCACGACGGGGTACCGTGGGCGTATTTGTGCCCACGACGTGGCCCGCATAACGACGGGCAGCGGAGTTTAAGTGCGGGCCACGTGACCGAGATATCGGATGTAATTTGTAATTAATTCCTCCATAACCGCTCCTCGCGCGACAATTACAAGGGGCGGGTGAGCGTGCTTTTTCAGTCCCCGAATGGATGTTAAGTTCTGGGATGGCTTCAGCAAATTGCCCGGACGAGATCTGCAAGCCGAGCGGCGGTAGATGGGCGTGGGGCCATGGAAGGCGCAGGAGGGAGTGACAGAGGAGGGGACTGCAAGTAGGAAGTGATCCAAGGAAACTTCTCGGGAAGGTCAGGATATCTTGAACACCCAAGGACAAGCCCGGGGTGTTCCGAAGGTGGACGCGTTGTGGTTCCTCACGTGCATTGGTGCTGACAGCAGCAGATGTTGAAGAAGCTGTGTATATGATTTATACCATTTGCGTATTTCGAAGAAAAATGTTTAAATACATGTGGTTCTTGTTCTTTATGAGTTGTTGTTAGTTATCTTAATGAATATTAAGAAAATTTATATCTTGTAAGGCTCCAAAACAGAAGTTTTCATTTTTTTAGCTGGATAATAAGATAGAACTTGTATTTCTAGAACATAAAAATTCTACTATTTTATAGTTAGTTACTTTTCTTTTTGTGTAACTTATTTCGAAAAGTCAGACAAGATCATTGCCAAAAAAATCTGACATTTTTCAATCATTTTGATATTTAAAAAATGTAACAATTGTATGTTGTGGAATATAGCCTAAATGATTATCGTCACGTTATGTCTTCAGTATTGCGCTGCTAATGATTGAAGATAGGAGTTTACTTAAAATATATTTTACGGGCGTAATTTAAATATTTTTTTATTATTCTATCTTTTACAAAATCTAACATCAACAAAAAGAATAAAGGATTTTGAGTACGGAAGTTCACTACAATGGTACTGAGTGAGAGAAAAATCATACGGATTCGTTTTCATTCTTAAGAAACTGCAGATGTGTTATCGTCACCAAAGGTTCGTAAAAGAAAGTCATGGTTGATTCTGAAACCACTCGTTGTGAAAACTTAATAAAATAAGAATCGTGGTGAACGCATTTTAATACAATGTTTACATTGAGTATTTTTAAGTTGTAGATGCTGCATCACTAAATTAAATTCTTTTCATTGTTAAAATGAACTGAAAAGTAACTCGCTTTTCTATTGTTTAATGGAAAACGTCCATTGTTAAGAATACTTTACATTAAGTTTAGATAGTTTTATTTTGGTGCTACATTACTTATTTAATATTTTATGTAAGGTTGTATTGTTTTTGGAAAATCTACACTTTTGAGACCATCGAGAAATGTGCAAAAAATTGACAGCATTCATGTCTGTTGTGACGGTGCTCAGCCATAATACCATCTGCCTAGAATCTGCATTTTATCGACAAATAAGAGGTGTTTGTATACATTATAAGTTATTAAGTACTTACCAAAAAGTGAATTAATGTTTTCATTTAAGAATTACGTATTATAAATTCCATACTTCTAATGATGCATTTCTTCATAGACATAATGACATAATGATTCTTCTTCATAGTTTAATGTATGTAGCTTTTGTTGTGCCTGGTAACCAATAACTTCTGTTTATATTGTCAAAGACGATATCCCGATATGAACAATTCTATGCAGTAGTTGTAGTGAAACCTTTTCTTCTTTGAGTAGACGGCATATGAGTGAAAAGAAGTGATTTCAAAAGTATGCGTGTAATGTTCGCAAATCTTCATCACAAAATTTTGCATTTAGTATTTTTATCATTTTGAAACATATGTTTAATTTCTAGTATGATAAGAAAAAACGAAAAGTCGAAAAACTATTTTTTCATGAAAAGCAATTAGGGTATTAATTTTTATCAAAAAAACTATATATACATAAGAAATGACTACTAAAGTGTATAACACTTGTACGCCACTAAAATTATAATCAGTCAGTATTGCCATAAAATGAAAATTATTAGTTTTTTTTGTCTCCTGAAAAATAATGATGTGACTTATTGTCAGTTTTTTACCCATCAGTTTAGAATTGTAAAATTGATTTTATAGTGTGTGTTAATGTGCGGATGACTTATTCTCATTAATACTATTTATGAGTAATTTAAAAAAATGCATTTCTAAAAATGCTTCTGAAGCTCTAACCTGCAGAATTAATTGTGAATAATGCAACTTTTGAGTATTGTCAAATAATGACGCCAAAAGCTTTTACATTATGAATATTAATAACATTTCATTTGATGTCTAACTGTAAATGTGTTGAAAATTCTCTCAGTATGGAAACACCTCTCTATTTTTACCATCTTCTTTTGGGATCGTGTGGCATATTTCACTGGCACATCGTAAATCCAGACGTTTTTCCAGGAATCAATGAACTGGAACGTGCATTGAAAACAGTTACAGATGTTTAAGTAATGAACAGTTTTAAGAAACTTTGTACGAAGAGTAATTAAAGCAGATGCCATTTAGACCAGTTTAGTTAAACTACAAGAGAGCATTGCATGAATTTTGTTACATGAAGGTATTTGAGATTTATCCTATTTGATATATCATTATTTATTTCATTTACCATTTAAACATTCGCTGTGGAAGTTTGAATTTCTGTTAATTAAAATAAAATTTAATTTAATGTTTTCTTTTTACTAATGTATGCTTCTCTGAGAATTTTGACATTAGTATGAATTAGTCGATCCATCACAAAATTAATTATTTGTGATTAATGTCATATATTTTCCTTTCTACTTCAAATTCTGTGAAATAACATATATAAGCTACAATTTCATTTAATTACAGTTTCATAATGTAATTAAATTCCTGGACTTTAGTTGAGATGCAAATGTAAATATTTGAAACTTGCTTTGTGTTAGTAGTAATTATCACCTCCGTATCAATATTTGGGGCATGATATTAATTATACGGGTTTACGAATACATTCTCAAGAATGTTCTTTTAATATCAGAAACTTCAATCTTAATATGGAGTACGAATATTTGATGTGTAAGAACCACCGAAGCGTTGGGGAAAGAAACCGTAGGTGCTCGCGTTCAAATCCCCCCCTCACCACAAACACACACAAACACACACACACACACACACACACACACACACACACACACACACATATACACGCCTCGACAATTGAATAATTTCTTTAAACTTTTGTTGGAAAATTTATTAAATAACTCTTAAGACTCCGTGTTATCATAAATAAAAATTTAACCTAAAAATTATTTTCACAATGACAAATTAGTATTAGAATTATCCTTTAAGAAGTTTGTTTACAAAAATTAAACGAATACAACATGACGCAATTATTAAGAAGTAGTAAGGTAGTAATCTTGGAAAATATGTTTGGCAACATTGTTTTCTTTGAATATGTTTAATGATTTTGTGTTGTGTTTTGTGTTCACGTTCTTTGTGTTAATTTAACTTTTAATTTTATCCTATTAATTAATTCAAAGAAACTTTGATATGACATCTTGCTTGGCGGAATGGCTATTGAGTGGAAATAATGTACGATTTGCTGTAATCTTCGTTTATATTTTCTGGGGCTCATTCATATTGGATGCACATGCAGGTGAAGGTTAGGAATTCCAAACATCTCTTAAGTTGTAAAAAATTAATTGCTATTTTAAATTTCTTCCCAATAAAAATATTCAAACATTATTAAAAATGAATTAGTGTCAATACGTACTACATACATTTTAAAACTGTTTTCGATTTTCGTTTTTAAAACATGACGCCAAGAAACATTTTCTTCTGCATCTGACTTCATGTTCTTTCTTAACAGAATCGGAATGTAGTTGATATTTTTTCTTTCTCTATATCTTGTTCTTTAAATATTCTTAAGAAATTTGTTAATAATTTGATGATAATTATTTTTTATTATCCATTAATTTAATTTAATTAATTTTTTCAATTTTTAGGAGGTATTTATTATTTTTTAAATGTTAAAAGATTTTTGACACATTTTACTTAATTAATTTTAGTAAAATATTGTGTCACACATATATTATAAGAATTATATTGACTATAACATCTTGAACTGTAAGTACATTTGAACACCCAGCGAACAAACTACGGGTTAAAACCAAATAAAAGTTTTGCAATTTTCGCAAAACAGAAGGTCATATGAGAATTATTTGTCTAAAAGTTCGCAATCTAATTTGTAGTATTATTACCTTCAGATCATGACTATTACTTGCAGTGTAGATTTAAACTCCTCAACACTTTGTCTCGCTTCGATCTTCACTTTTTTTCTTTCGAATTATAATCAATTACGTTGATAAATTTCATTTGTGTTTTCAAAATTGTTTTCATCAATGGTTTTAAAAATGTTACTTTATTACAAATTTATTCATTACTTGTATTTAAGTTGAGGATTGAGGCAAATGGAACGTATCAGCACCCAGACGGTGTATAGTAGTAGTTGCAAGCTTTTGAAGATGTCATTATTGCGTTCTGAATGCTAAATTTCGTTGGAGTGATTGTTGAATTACTCAACAATTCAGTTATAACACTGTATAGCGTGTAGATTTTAAAACAAAATAATCATTTTTGTGAAAAAGGTTAGGTGGAACGAATATGAATTTAATTCAAAAAGATTGCTAGCTTGTTTGTAACATTTTGGAAAGTTTCTTTATCGAAAGAGAGTAGCTGACAGAAAATGGCTTTTTATTTTATTTTAATGAACTTAAATACCGAAAATTATTTTTCTCGCAGAACTCTGTTATGTCTTCGAAATTGTTGCTTTTAGCAGGTATTCGTTTGCAAGAGTAATTAAAAAATAGTAATTATACAATTATATTCTGAAGGATTTCGAAGTGGATTTCCAAAGCATTTTCGAGATTTGTGAGCTCCTAAGACTCGTGCAACACTGCTCCGACCGTGGCGCGCGCAGGCCGTCTCCCGGTCGCATATCGTGGGTAGCCCAGAGAGCAAGCAAGCATCCCGAGCCGGGCGGCCGCCTTTTCAAGTGCGCACGCATCGCTTTGCCGGTTGCTGCGCGCTCCCGCGTTCGCTCTCCCGCTCACCTGCTCACTCGCTCACTCGCTCACCCGCTGGTTCGCGTCCTGGGCAAAAGGCAGCGCGCGTACGGCCAGCGCTGCCACGCGCACAAAGCGCGATGCGTGGGCGTGACGGCGCATTTCACCAGCTCTTCCCGCTTAGCGCAGCGCGCGGCGTGGCGTGGCGTGGCGTGGCGTGGCGTAGGCCTCGCGGCTCGTGACGCTTCATCTCTCCCTCACCCCCGCTTCTCATTCTCTCTCCCTCCCCGTCTCTTACTCCCTCTCTCTCTCTTCCTCCCTCCCTCTCTCTATCTCCATTCTTCCCTCTCACTCTCTCTCTCGCTCTCTCTCCCTCTTTCTCTCTCTCACCCTCCCTCTCTCCCACCCGTTCTCTCCCTTCCTCTCTCTCCCTCCCTCTCCTTCCCTCCCCTCTCTTGCTCACACTCTCTCGCAAGCTCACGAGCCATCTCTCTCTCTAAACGCGCTCTCTCTTGTGTTGCCCCCGCAGGCGTGCCGCAGCTGGACCTGACGGGGCTGGTTGGCGAGACGGTGCGGTTGCCCTGCAAAGTGGACACGGAGACTTGCGGCGACATGCACAGCATCAAGTGGTACAGGGGCTCGTCTCGCATCTACGTCTTCAGCGAGATGTCGAACATCGCCCACGCCGAAGGAGACTACACCGCTAGGTGAGTACTGATTTCACTTTCATTGAACGCGGCTCATTACCTAACGCTAATGGGAGCTTATTCTTTATGATTTTCCAAAGCCAGAGCTGCAATAAGTGTGCGTGAAAGAATTCATTTGTAACAATGCATTTTTATGGACAGTCAAAAGTGGCTTTACTTCATGATTACGATCTAAATATTAGTATGCCGGTTACTATATTTTCATTTCGAATATACGCATAAATTGATGGAAAACTAGGCAGTCTTTGGCCATGTGAGAAGGGTCAATGGTTTTCTTAGCAACTCAGAAATCGTCAGGAAGAGTGGAAAATTTTAAACCAATATTGAATTTGACTAAAAATGCAAATATTTGGTTATGTTAACCAACCTTTCGTAACACCCGATTTAGAACTATATCCTTATACTCGTGCGCTTTTGACACTGTTGTCATGCATCTCTGAAGACGGAAGCTGTTTCTGTTAAGACTTACAGAAACGTACTGGCTTAAATTCTTGATATTTATATTTATTCTTTTACCGATATCGTGCCCATTACCGCAGAAATTATTTGTTACGAACCGCTCTCAGGTGTAATAAAACTCACTGTTCGGCTCCCAATAATACATACTAAAACACAATGTCTCTGTTAACAAGAATTGTGTTACATTGCACACCGAAATATTTGGGTTTGTTTTTGAAGAGGATGATCAGTGCATCAATATTATAAAAAAAATATTATTAGTTTGTTTTTCGCTCAAAATGGTGTGTAAATGTTTAAAGGTTACCTCTTTAATTTCACATCTACTTCTGTTTCCAAATTATTTCAGTTTATCAGGCCTTATAATCATGCGGATTCATTTTAGTTGTGTCTCATTCAAACATCTCCGTTGTCTTGTTCGTTTTATTACCTTGTCAAAAGGACTTTTTGACGCATATTCTTTTATTCTACGTAGATGGAAAATTCGGTCTCATTATTCTATAAAATTGCTTTAGTTCAAGATGTTTTGACTTGTCTAGATACAGTATCAAATATTCACTAGCATGTTACCATTGATAACTCATTACTTGTTTTCCTATGCCTATTTTCTTAATATGTTGCCAAATGAAAAATGGTCCTTTTATATCACTTCAAATACATCTCTCATTATCTTTGAGATAACTTTCACATTTGTATCACCTACTCGTGTTGCATGGACATGCTTCGAGATTGAAGCTGATTTGCGTATCCCAATGCGTATTTGGCTCAGTATTAAGTCAAGACACCGATACAGAAATTCAAAATACGTGTATTCTAAAAATAGCCCAATCTTCGTCTTCTCTTCAAGACAGAAATTATTGACGAATTGACGCAGACAAGAGTTTCTCTGTAGTGTTCTTACAGTTCCCAAAATATTTTGTTCACAGACGTAGAAGATTCTAGCGTCTTTTTAGAAAGTTTACATTTCTTTTCAGATGATAAAATTTCATTATTTGTTTTCTATTACATTTCACAAAAGTGTATTTCATAAAAGGAACGATGTGTCCCCCTCATTTTTTAAAATAACGCCAGAGTGCATTACTGTGACGTTCACATGAATAGCTGTTCCGTTAGGCGAAAGGCACTTCAGAGCGCGAAATTTCCCAGGATTTAATTTCACCGCGAAAGTAGGCTTGAAGAAACGAGTGACGCAGTTCGATTATTGGTCCTTCCCTCCCCATCCCCAACGCTAATCAGGTAGCGGGCCACACTCTTCCAATGTAACCTTCGAATTCAAAGCGCCCCTCCGTGCGAGGCCGTGTAGGTCGGCGGAATTTCATTTCGGTCGTCCTCGCCCCGCGTGTTTAGCGCAACTCTTCCTTTGTCCGCGCGGAAAGTACGGCTCTCCTGGGGCCGCGGGCCCTGTGCCCGCGCGCGCGGAATCTAATGAAGCCGTCATTTCACTCAACGAAGGCATGCGCGAGGGCGCCCGCCCGCCCGTCCGTCCGCCCGCCCGCCCGCGCGCGCCAGCCAAGGCCGGGGCGGCCCGCCTCCGCGCCAGCCGCCGCCGGTGGCAGAGTGTGGCGTTCACACATTTGCGTCACGTGGGTCTTTGTGGGCGCCGGGGACCCCCGGAGAGACGCGGGTCGTGGAAGGAGGCCCCGCGCGCGGACTTGTGGGGCGGGGGGGTGGAGGGCTAAGGGAGGGGCGGCGGGGGCGTACCTCCCGCGCTCTCTCGTTCGTTCCGGCGTCGCTCTGTCTGGCGCGCGAGACGCCCTCGTCGCGCAATGTGCCACTTCGCAACGCACTCACGCCTGCCGCTGCGGCGGGGACGTGCGGAACCACAATTTACAAGCACACTCGCGAATTTGACTTCCTTTCAGTAAATACATCGCGGGCGCATTCTCTTTCGGCCTCTTCCCACCTTCTACGGCTTTATCAATCTGTCCTCCCCCGCGCTCTGGTTTTCTTTCGCTTCCTGCGCGCACCCCCCACCCCCGCCCTTTCACCCGCTCAAAGGGCTTGTTTGATCGTATAGGAGCCCGCCAGCCCTCGGTCGCGTCCCTGCAGTGGCCCCGCCGCTGCCACCGTCGTCGAGGACGAGGTTGTCCTCCTTGGCCCGCCCGCTCCCTCGCATGCATATTTCATGCCCTTCTTCTTAATCGTCTGAATCGCTCGTGTGTTCGCCGTGAAAGAGGGGCAAGAGGCGGGCTGAGGTGAGAGGCGGGTGTTCGACGTGCGGTCCGTGCCCGACCAGACGGGTCGCGGGGCGAGGTGGGGCTTTATATGTGGTTTGCTCACTGGAGGGAAGATGTGCGATGGATTTGTTGAAAAGGCGGTACCTCTTCATTACGACTTTTATCGGTGTCGCTCGTGGAGAAAGGGTCTGTCCCTGAGTTAGGTAAAAACAACTAATCTGTGTATCGAAGCTGGGGTTCTTATTTCCTTCTGGTGATTTTCATTATTTTATTTACGACGATGAGATTTGATTAGCACTCATATAGCTAAAATTAGCTTCATTGCAATACTTGTAAATTGATGAATTATTGCACTAGTTCGGTAATGGCTTCATTATAATACTTGTTTTTGAAGACATAACAATCGCGTTGTTCGAAGAAAATTAGCAAGCATTACTTATTTAACTAAGTCGCTCATGTAAAATATTCATAAAATAAAATAAAAAAGCATTTTCAAATCGTCGTAGATAAGTCTCAATGAAACAGATTTAATACATCTAGTATCTAAATTTGAATTTCATTAAAATGGCCGTACTCAACCTGTTTTAATAATAACTAAAATATATTTAATGTTACATATTTAAAATTAATTAATACCTACTATACTGTTTTATATTTACTATAATGTAAGATGTAATGCACCAAATAATGTAACTATTAATCTTGCAAAATAATCAAAGTAGGAGAAATGGTTGCATCAGAAGCGATTGTACTCAACAACGTGTACGCAGTATTTTTCATTGCTTATTAGATGGAAATGTTATTGTTTCTTGAAGACTAATTTTAATTTCTGAATACAAAACACGAATTATTTATAATTTGAACTAGTTGGTAAATTCATTTTGAAAATTATTTCATTATCACTCTTCAGTATATTTTTGTTAATTCATTGCAATATGTAAACCAACTTCTGAACAGAATTATATGGAAATAGGAATTTCGATTATATTAGGTAAAATATTTGGAACTAATGGAATTTATTCTGGAAATCCCATATTCGTAGATTATGGAAATTCAATAACTACTTTAATTTTGTTGACCCGTGCAGATTTGTAACTCGAAATGTAGTGTAATTGATCGTTCATCTCATTTAAAAGTTCATAATCATTAAAATGTTTTTTTTATCACAACGAACACATTTTGTAACAATTCCAGAATGAGCACTCAGTAACTCTAACGTAATTTTTGAAACTAATTATTGAACGTGATGCATACACAAATGTTTCTTGGAAAAATCTCTATCTGGGTTAACTTATTTCTGCTACTTCAAACATGTGTATAAGATACTTTTCAGTATTCAAAATCATAATCATATTGCAAATTTCTTGAAAGAAAAGCCTTACATATTAACTTTTTTATAATATGAATTGACATGATGATTATTTCGATCTAAGCATAATTTTTTATTGATTTTTATCTAATGAATCGTAGTTACTATATTTGTAGTACTTCATCGTTTTCTATCTTTTAGCGTTTACATTATTTTGCTAACTGATGTTTTAACGCCAAAAAGGGCAATTTAGGAGGTACTGGTGCCGAATATTACAACTTCTTCAAACTAAATTAAATGAAAATCAAAACACAACGATTCATCTAATCAAGAAACACTCTCCTAAATGTAATAAATGAACAATAAATAAATTCTGCTCTTCTACAAACATGATAAGTTCAAAAATTCACATCTCCTCTGAATCCGGACGTAATAATTTCTCGAAGCGGCTCGAGTTACATTACCAGCGGCTAACACCCTTCGACCACCGTCACACGAGTTTCACAAAGTTGGCGCTAGCAGTCGCCATGACGCCCTCCTACTCTCTCTTCCTCATTCCTCTTGCATTTTTCTCCCCCAACACTCTCGCCGCACCGCGCCGCACCGCCCCGCCCCGCACCGCGCCGCTCCACGCCTCCGCGCGCCCCGCGGGCTTCAAATAACAAAACAAGCTTTGGCCATCTCGATAAATCATTCAGGTGCCACGAGGCTACAAGAAACGTCATTACCGGGGCGGGGCGGCGCGAATTCCGCGCGCGGGAAGCGTCGGAGGGGAGGGGAAGGCAGGGGCGGGCCCGGCCCCTCCTGCCTGTGGGCTAGCCGGGGACGAGGGCTTGCGATTCGCGCCGACGCGTGCGCGAGCGCGTGTATATTTTCCGCGGCGTCACCGCGGACAGTGGATTAGCGTCGGGGGCGGAGGGGACATGGGAGGGGCGGTCGGTGGGGTGCGGCGGAGCGGAGCCCTGGCGGAAGCGGACGGGAGGGGACGGCACGCGCGGGCCGTGAAAAACAGCGGCGCGTCGGCGCCGTGATAGCTTTCCGATACGCGCGACTCGGCGGCGTAATCCGCGGCGGCGGGGGCGGAGGGGGCGGCGGGACTCAGCTGGCGGCGGCGCCCGCTTAACGCTGTCGCCGGCCTCGCCTAAGCCGCGGGCCCCGGGCTCCGGCCCCGGCGCCGCCCCGCGCGAGATCCGGTGGATGCGGAGGGAAGGCCGGTCGGTGGAGAAGGTTTGCCGCAAGTGGCTTGATGGGCTGGCCCATGCTCTCCTCTCTGCGTATTTATAGGAAGCGTTTTTTGAAGGGGTACGTTGCAGTGCCTCTGACCGGGATGTCCTAGAGTTCGAGGCCCGAAGGTGGCGGACTGTCGACACGAGCTACGTTGCCGTGTCAAATTCAATATTCTGGTCGTGTCAAGTGGCCGACTGCTTCGATCGTTCGTTTTCCTAGGTTCCTCCGATGAATACCAGGACCAGTTCTCCAACAAACGAGGCATGAATCGGGTAAGATATTTCCTTCTACACTTTGTTCATTCCTTTCCCCATACACTTGAGACACACTTCCATGATCTATTCTACCTGAAATGTCGGGAGAACAGACAGGATCTTAGAGCTTTTTCTGTCTGGCAAATACATGCTAGCAGAGGGTTCCAACAATTACTGCGCGCACGGATGTGACGACAATGGGCGAGAGCTATGCGCACAATATTATGTCGGGAGTAAATGGGTTAATACTTGAAGTGTATTTGATTATTTTCTTCAGTCTTTCTTATTACCTACTATAAATAATTCTTGTGAACGTACTACGTGTGCAGGGAAATCTATTTTCAGAAGATACTCTTCAGAACGTTTAATGCCATCGATCGTGAATTCTCTTTGTTTATAACTTTTCATCTGACTTTAAAACTCGCTAATCATGTTAATGTTGGAAACGACGCGTTGAATGTCTCTAAATGCTATGGAGTTATATTCCAATCAAGATAGATTAAACACCTACCAAAATTGTCATTTTTGTTTGTAATTTCATTCCAGTTTAATTATTATCATATTATTTTACATGTGTGTCAATCGTACTATGATAATTTCCATGCTGTATCTAGATGATACTACACCGCTCGAATTTGAAACGAGGAATTCTTAATGCTTCGATTTTTTGTAAAGTGTGTTCCTTCCGTGAGAGAGACCCAACATATTTTCGAGTATGACAGTGCTCATTCATTCGTTCATTCTTGGAAACAATGGTTGTCTGCTGTGGCGAAACATTGGTTTTCGCCTCGCTACATCAGGTCTAGTAGTTTCTTCGCGAGTGGTGAACGTTTAATATTGGAGGTTCATTCGTACTAAATCACAGAAAATCGAGTGTACCAACGGTCCGTGAACCACACCTGTCGGATCGTAAATTATACGGTTTGAATTCTTGGAATACACCTTTGACGTCGCAAATAAATTTTGGAAGACTACGGTCTCCAGTTATTGGTATGGAAAGAATCGACAGAGAGAGTTGCAGTTAATCGTATTTTAATTTTCATTGAATTCTTGTATGTGAGGCACGTTTCTTAAAACGTTTTTCATATTTTTTGAACATTTCTTTTGAAAGTAAAATAATTCTTTTAGCCAATTCATATTTTTTTGTGCCTTTTAAATCATTGACATTGATTAAAGAGTGCTGGATTCCTAATAAAATCATAGTCATTAATATTTGAGTTGATTAACACCATATTCTCTTTTTTCTGCATTTTGCTTTACTTTTCCACTTCATAAATGATGTACACTTCAGTTCACTCAAGTTCTACAGTAATTTCAAATCATCTTGAAGATTTCCTTGTGACAAATATATTTTGTGATTTTGAGGGTAGAAGAAATATTAGCAATATGAATTGTAAAATAATAATATTAATTATAACTATTATTATTATATTAGTATTATCTGAAGACCAACACAGGGCAATATAGTTCTACATTTGCATCTTCGTGAAAACACCCTGGACAGTGTCATTATTTCTGCCTTTCTCTCTTTGTTCAGTTTTAAAATAAGATGTGACCGGCGGCATTTTGCTAATAAGCGCAACAGGAAGTTTTGTCTTTTTGTACACGCAGCAAAGAGCAATCTCAAGTCTAACTTTCGCTCAGTGAAGTTGCTTGAAGATTCGCGCAAGACCTTTCTGAAGGAAAGTGGCCACAGAAAGCAGAAACGTGGAGCACTTTCTTCTTAATAAGCTGCTGGTTAAATGAGAAATTGCTTCGGGCATTGTTGATTTAGCGTAATTAAAAGTTCGGGTTCATGTAATTTTGGAACCTCTCTACCAACTCCCATCATTACCACCATGTAGCTGAAACGAATTTGAAGTTACCTCACATTATTCTTATACAATGTTCTAAATAGGACGATGTGAAGATTATCGCTATTATCCATGCTATGCGTAGTATTTTAATTTTACTGTCATATGAAATGTCAAGCTGACGATTTCTTAAAGATCTTAAGCACGACACGCCTTGGACGAAAAAAGAGGCGAGTGTGTGATGTGAGCAAGCGTGTTCTTGGTCTAATCATCTCAAAGAACATTACCAGGAAGACAACTGCCTTTACACATCTTAACAGCGTCTGTTATTTCCTCCTCCCGTATAATATTACTATTATTTCCATTGATGTGGGGTTGCTGAGGTGGATAAGCTTTTATTCAGTCATTTTCTGAATTGCTCATATATGAGTATAATCAAATCGTCTCGTGCTCTGTTGCTTCCGCTAACCCTTCCATCTTTTATCTCGAAATTTCAATTTCTCAAACTATTTACACCAAGAAATACCAGACTTTTAGCTAATTGGCCTTCATACTTCTAGGCCGTTATTATGTAGTTCAGCTGTTATGTTCTTTGCATTATCAATATATGATTTTTCGTTACGTTAACGTTATTAACGGCAGTTTCCAGAAGTATCAATCACTCCTTGGCTATTCGTTTTTACGGTGGCGAGATCTACACCGGAGATGCCTCAACACATCCCCGGAGACTAGGTTAGGGAACGATTGCTGACCCGCTGGAGAGCCCACGGACCTCTGGGGCATCTCGAGGGGGCCACCGCGACGCGCCTCGCGTCCAGACCGCACCCGACCTCTCCCCACCCCCCTGCCGTTCCCCGGACACCCGCGCCGCGAGTAATGCTATTAGCAGCGCCGCCCACCAATAGTACGCACAGTTCTTCCGCACCGCTCGCTCGCAAATTGCTCCTCTTCAAGGGGAATTATTAGTTACAAATTAGTTTGCCAAGTTGCCGCGCGACGGGGGCCGCCGCCGCCGCCGCCACCTCCGCCACCGCCCCCGTCGCCCCCACCGCCGCCGCCGCCACCGCCGCGGCCCACTGCAGCTCTGAGGTTTTGCATCTGCATAAGTCTCTCCTTCTCCTCCCCCGTTAACACCGCGGGGCACGGCGGGGAGGGGCTGGGGTGGGCTGGGGTGCCGGCGCGGTGGAGGTGTGGAGGGTGAGAGGAGGGCGGCTAATGAAGGCAGGGACCCGGGCAAATTAGGGGCCAAGGTTGCACGCGCGAAGACGCCGCCACCTCCGCCTCTTCCACCCCCACCCCACCCCCCGCCGACTTCTTTCGCCGCTTTCGCGCCTGCTTCCTCGCCCCTCTTACTTTTCTTTATGTTATTAAAAAAGTCGACTGTAACAAAGTTTTCGCTCGGTTGGAAGAGTCGCGGGGGTGAGGGTGGGCACGAAGGGTGTCACCGTGTTAAAGTTCCCAATGACGGAAGATCGATCGAAAACAATTTTAATTTTTTTTCCGACGCGAAAACACGCTACCCTCTCAGTTATTTATTCCTCGAGGCAGGTGAATGGAGGAAACGATTTCACTTTCTTCGCGTTGCCAGTTGACATGCTGATTTATTAATTTCGCATTGTTCCATTCGCTCTCTGTGAATTGTCTGATGTTGCCAACTAAATAAGAAACCAATCGTATCCAAAATACGGAGAAAGTTCACGTACAGTAGAAAATAGAGACAAATGTTATCAATTGGATGCATGTACTCGTAAATGTACTCGAAACGTATATGGTAGAAAGGAGGGGTTCATGTAAAGTTATCTTCGAAATAAATCATCAGTGGATGTTGCAATGTAGTTTCGGTGCAGATAGTTCATGATCTGTATTTACAGAAATAATAATCTCTAAATAAGAAATAAAGGACAGAACCCAACGAGCTCTGGAAATAATTTTGTAATAGTAAGTGAAACACTAAAAAAATATTAAGTTAAACTATACCTCTTCAATCTAAAATCCGTTGATTGAAAATATTTAGTATTCTGTGATATGAAGTCTATTATTTAATTTTACAAGATATTTGCTAACGATTAATTACTTTCATGACTAGTTTATGATGTTTTTGGTCTAGGGTAAATCTCAATTTAATTTGTAACGAGTTCACTAAGCCAATTCATTCCTTGACACAAAATCACCCAATACTTCGCAACTTCCTAGTGGTGACCAATACTTAGCTACTCCCTAGTTTCATGACTATTAACTTAACATTCTGCATTCAGGAGTAAACTATCTCGATTCTTGAAAAATCGATGTTGTCTCTCTCATTGGCAGTTTTCTTTTTTTTCTTTCTTTTTCTTTTTCTTTTTCTTTTTTTTTTCTTTTTTTTTCAAAAAAAAAAAAGCAGCTCTCGTTCGCATACTTCGCTAACACCGGTTGAACTACATCTCGGGGCTGATAAAGTTTAATGGAAGGCTTATCGGTTGTTCTTCTGCGAACAAGAGGAAGTCCGTTAAGTAGATTCAGAAGATAATGTACATGTACCCGGGAGGAAGTGCGTTTATTCGAGCCGTTCATTATGAAGGAGCGGTTGAGTCTAGAAGGTGAGATTTACTGTACGGCTAGGAACGAGAAGGTAATTGCGCGCGCCCCTAGCTCAAAGACGTCTTTTAAATAGAGCGAAGCGAAGCGCGGGAGCAAAAAGACGCAACATGTGGAGTTATTAGGTGCAGTCTTCTTAGGATGCCTTGCTCGTAATAAGCTGAGCGAAGCCCAAGTAGATCAAAGTGAACATGCTTCCAATGTTAAGCAAAACGGCTTTCTTTCTACCAGTTGAATTCACGATATTATATTTATTGGTTTTAAGTACTGTATGGCAAACACTAATCAACATTACTGTAGAACATACGTTAATAAATATAATCTCAATTTTTTCGCACCCGAAGTCTATGTGTTTTATATCGTAATGCACGTCTGATGTTAATGATATATTAAATGGCAACTTCATGAGACAGAAAAAATGTACATTTTATTCCTTTGAGTTACTATAGAGAGTGGCATAATTTCAGTTGTAAATTTTAATTTATGCCGCCAGTTATAACATTTAATCAAATAATGAAAAATTGTACAAGATTTCAAATCTACACAAGAGAGATATTTATTCCTTCGAATGGCGAAAAAGTGCGATGTATTTGAGAGAGGACGCCAAGAGTGTCCTAGCACCATTTTCCCGTCTAGTATAGAAACTTAGAAGTCGGGGGGCTTTATTTTCTCAATGTCCGAAGCTAAACTTCGGGGCCGGTTGCGACTCGACTTTTAAACATGCCATCTCTGCTGGGATACGTCCGGCTTCATATTTTATTCATTAGCCGTTCGCGTCTATTTGACACTGGCCGCCGCCCGTTCCGCGCGGGGCTTATCCTCGACGTCCAAAGCGCTCGCTGCCACAACAGCTCCCGCCGAAAGATCACGCAGCCAGGCGCAGTGGCGTTATCGCCTTCCGAGCGCCTGCCTCTCCCGGGGCTGTCGGCTTCCTCACAGCATTACCAACTTCGAGAGCAGCCGCGGTGGCGGCGGCGGCGGATGGCGGGCGGCGGCGGCGACTGCGCTGGCGTTGGCGTTGGCAATCCGCCCCCTCTGTTTGCTTGCTCAACTAGGCCCCAACTTAAACTTGGAATAAAGGCTGTTTCTCCTCTTCATCCTCGCGAAAATTGGGCGGGAATCGATAAGTTTAGGCTGGATAAACAAGCTTCGGGCGGTGGCGGCGGCGCCCGGCCCGAGCAAAGCCCTCTCTGTGCCCCGACGTCCTGCCGACGCGCCTGCGACCGGAAGTAACCTGCAAGATGCGCTCCTGCTCCAGTGAGTCCCAGATTGATTGGTGGTCAACGCGTTTTGTCTCAGAGATGTGATAGGTATTTAACGAAACGAGAGTCGCAATACTCGTACAATACTTGTTTGGTTATGAAACTCGGTCTAAGGACATCGTATAGTAATTCTCCAATTTGGTATTGCACTAAGAATACACTATCTAGATTAGGATCTATATTACTTATTTCGAATACGCGCAAACTAACGAAAAAACTAAGCATCCTCTGGTCATGTGAAAGATATCGATAATTTCGTGAAGTACCCAGGTATTCAGAAAAAATGCTAAAATCTTTCAAACAGTTTAGATTTTGACTAAAGAATGCAAATATTTAATTATGTTAATCTGATATTTCACGTTCTTTATGTTAAGCCTACATTCTTATTATAATCAGTGTTTCACTGCTGACACAGCGACGTCATGCGACAATGTTGAATGAAGCTTGAGTGTTCACGTGCGTCGTTTCACGAACAGCCAATTTTTGCATCTCCGAGACCCCATTTTTCGAACGCTTTACAGCAGCATTGTTTTTGCTATAGCCATAGTTTATTGGATCACACGAGTTCAAATTATAATAATTATTATTACGAAACTAATCTCAATTTCACAACGTCAGACTTACGATAATCAAATTGACGAAACATGAATTTACATTGTATTATTTGTGTTGTATGTGACTCTTTGCATGTCACATAACAGTGATTGATGCCGTTGGCATAAGCAATGAGTTCACATTATTGTGAATGATATTCATATAAATGAGAAATCCTCATTTCTCCATTTCCAACTGCACGTATTTTAATTATATTTTATTTGTAAAAATATTTCTCAATGGTGAATTTTTTCAGAGGAATATTTTTGTCGAGAAACATGTAGTCATATCATGCGATGTAGCGAGTGCAGTTCGTGGTCAATGTCCGAATTGTATTTGTATGGGGATTGTGAAAACTACACTAGAGTGATGTAAAGTGGACATAATTCGAGTAGTGATTTATTACATTGTAACTCAAAACCACAGACTGGGTCTAACACTAAGAGTGGACTGATTGTTTCAGGTTAACCCACTTTTAGACAAGGCGTTGGAACTTAGGATATT